TATTTACAATTATAACGAGAGTCCCGACAAGGGATCAATAAGGTCTACACTATCCCGGCAAGGAATTCGACAGCATAAGTAATCACGTCCCGGCAAGGGAGAAACAACTATAACCATACTTGTTACAACATCCAACTACCTCAGTTATAACCAAACTCGTTACCACACCTAACTACCTCAACTACAACCTAACTTGTTACAACACCTAACTACCTCAGCTATAACCATAATCCCTACCCAACACAAAGAATCATTAACCTAAGCATCCGTAGTATTAATTAAGAACACAATGCAAGAGAGCCACAACTCAACCATAGCCCGGCAAGGGGCAACATAATGATCTCTTCTCTTTCTCACTTTTACTTCACAATTCACTTCACAACTCGAGCCAACGCTCTAGAGGTTCAATTATTACTTATACTTTCACAATTCGTTATACAACTGGAGCCAACGGTCTAGAGGTTCAATTATTACTTATACTTTCACAATTCGTTATACAACTGGAGTCAACGCTCCTCAATGTTCATAGGTCACAATTCTTTCCACAACTTTACACAACAAATAGAAATCTTCACCAAGGCATGAATAATACAACGAAGTCATGAAAATCACAATATAAAACTCACGGTCATGCTCGACACCAACGTATAGATACTCGTCACCATGTTTATACGTCGTACTCAGCAAGAAACAAGTAGTAAACATGACACAACTCCTAATCTCTCAAGCTAAGGTTAGACCAGACACTTACCCCGATGCCTCAAACACAACTCAAGTTTCAATTATAGCTTTACCCCTCGATTCCACCGCCAATTCGCTCGTATCTAGTTGGATTAAATGTGAAATTGCCGAATGAAATAGCGAGAAAAAGAATCAGATGTAGGTTAACGTTTTCCGCCGATTCACTATGCTTGTAACTACTGCAACGGTCAAATCTCAACCTTTCCATTCCCTCACTCAATTAAAAGAAAAGAGTAATATTTGGTAGTTGGAATGCATGTGACCATTTTAACTTTGCTTGTTTACTGTCATTTTCATAGAGCTGTTCATACCATGGAAAAAAAATCTTTTGTTGCTCATATCTTGTCGGTGTTTGCTTTCGTTTTTCTTTCTAGCCTCGGGGATTTCAAAAGGAAATAATTCATATGCACGAGTAGTCAAAAGAGTTGTTCAGCTGCCAGTCACGAGATTATTTCACTCTATTCGCTTTGGTTTTGGCTGCTAGTAAAAGTTTTCCATCAAGCTGGTAAAATTGTACTGTAATACAAACAAGCAACTTTTCATTTGCAGCTAAGAATATTCGAGCGGCTTGCAAAGAAAACACCCTTTCTGTGTCTTGAATCCAAAACTTATAACACCAATATCTACCACAAAGATCCGATTTTTTCTGTGCGAAGAGTTAAAGTGCACTGGAATTGTGTCTCAGGTACATATGGTTAACCAATAGGACCCGCAGCATTCTATTTATATAATTGGGTCAAAGCATAAATGTACAAAACAATTCCAGATATAAAAGTTAGTACAGATTTGCAGACACTTCACAACATTAAACAATTACCGGTGGGCAAGGTTGTTGGCAAATACAATAATACACAAACAATAATGTTATATAACTGGGCAAGGAAAAAAAAACTTAAAAGAAGAAGAATTAAGTGGACAGGATTCATCACAATCTACCTGCCAATTCAATGACAGATTCATGCACAAGCTCTTCAAGCAACTTTCCTTCAATTTCCATCCCTAAATTGTCTAATTCTAATCTAAAACTTGCAAGCCACCGTTTCCCCATCACCTCCTTCGTCACCATTCCTTCCATCACCAGGCTGTTTATGTCCTCCGCATCACAAGAGAGATATTTCACCTCACTAGAAAACCATTCCTTCATCCGGTCCCAAACTTGGTCCACCAATATCAAACTAGTTCCCTGCGGCTGATTATTATGGACCCCAACATAAGGTCTGGCTCTTTGGCAGTTGTCTGGCCCATATCCTGCAATATCTAATAAAACTGCATTTACACAATCGAACACAAGCTTTTGGGTTGATCTCCTTTGCCTTCGTTTAGCCTCATGTAATGTCTCCTTCTCATTCAGATCAATGTATTTTTCTCTGAGTGATGGGTCCAAAGGGCTTTCAGGAGAATGCCACATGGTCGAGAAAGCATCAGATTGCACTTCATCAAGGCCGGCCATGGTTAGTAGTGTTTGAACAAAAGAGAACCATTCACGTTCTACTTCCTCCGTCCACTGAGTAGACGATGATGGTCTTACACATGCTGAACTGGCTGTATCTGCACAGGAATCGTCCCATGACAATGTACGAGCAATTGATCCTATTGGAGGAGATTTATCGATCAAATTGGACCTTATAGGGTGAAGAGACAACTCGGTACCTGCTAATTTGATTTAAACAAGGGATATGGGTGGGGGTGGGGGTGGTGGGTTAGAATTAGTTTTAAATTAAGAAAGAAACTAGAGAACATGTTGGATTGTTGATGACATTTACCATGGCGGTCCGGCTTGATACCGGCTGATGATATATGTGCTGGATGTTCATCCTCTTCAAATGGTGTTTCCAAAACTGATATAGGACTCGGTTGGTCCTGGTTTTCACATGGGTGTCCAGCGCGCAAAGATCTTGCTTCAGAGAGTGCAACCTACAAAATTATTATAACATAAATCCACCTTGAACAACTTCTTAAGCAGCCATATTGACGCTATTCGAGTTCTCCAGTGTCGGACAGTTCTCACACATCGGAAAAGAAAGTTGTTTACAGAAATCACAGAATCTAATAAAATATTCAAGAAATTGTAAATGCACTCCACTAAAGGTGTGTAGATGGCTACCACAAAAAAATAGAAGAGAAAAGTCATAATGATGTAAAATGCAAATGTACCATTTTCTAACAACTTGCAACAATGTAGTAGGGAGAAACATCAGAGAACTGCTTTACCTCAGGGGAGGTTGTGGCTTGCTTCCCAACCACATCTTCGCAAGTCAGTGTGAATGATGATTCGCGAAGATCGGTTGCTGAAGACTCAACCCCGGGATCATCATGGAATTCACTACTATATTTGTCAACTTTTGATAGAGAATGTAAAGGTTTTGCACCTGTCTGCAATTCATCATTGGACTGCGAACACTTAGCTTCGTCTTTGTTTGGCTTTTTGTTCCTAGAGAAAAACAGATTTGAGACCTTCCCTTTCAGTGATGATTTTGTACTTCTAGGCTTTGTTGTCTGCTTGGGAAGGTCATTTCCTCCAGTCACATGATCTGGGGCACCCACATTCAACTGTGCACTGAATGCAGTGGAAGATACAGGGACAGACTTGGACCTCAAAAGATTCCTTGGCGACTTGTTGATACTATCATCGTCTTTGGAATTACCCACTGAGTTGGAATTAGGAATTTGGGGATCTTCTTTGCTACTTTCCTGCTCTATTCTTCCTGCCGTCTTAATATCAGAGAGAGCAAGCATCTCGCCTAAAGTGCTGGAGCTTCTCCTCATTGGTCTTCGTTCTTGACAACTCCCGTTAGATGCCACCATCGCCCATCTCTCAGAAAGTCGCTTCTTGGCTTCTTTGGAAACTGAAGATTCAGGAGAATAAGAAGCACGGCTCATGGAGGAGCAAGAATAAGGACTGCCAAACCTATTTATGTATTCCCATGAGTGTCTAGAAGCTGGTGACATGACTTCAGAATCACTAAGATTTCCAGCTGCACACTCTTTTTCAGACTTATTAAATGAACTTTCATCACCAATGTAGCCATTCGAAAATACAGAAGAAACTAATGTTTCATCCCTTTGATGTCGACCTATGTTTACTCGCATCTGCTGTGTGATAGCCTTTGCCACTTCTCTTGATTCTTGAGCTTCATCAGCCTCCATGTTGACAAAACTTGTTTCAGCTTGTGATACTCTTGGTGATGCAGACGGTGAAGAGTTTGCAGCCCTAAAGTTGTGAGTCTTACCGATACTTGGTTTTAACACGACTATTCGTGTAGGTTGAGCATGATTTTCATCAATATTCCAACTTGCTGTAGGAGGGGTAAATGCCATATGGCTTTTGGCCCTGTTTCCCTTACCTACATGGGTGGCTCTGTTTATCTCCTCATTTTTCTTCACTGATCCACCAAATTTGCAATCATCAACCATCTTTGATGGTCTTAGAACGGTTATTCGCTTTGTCTCAGGAGGAGGAGGTATAGACTGCAAATTATATAAATGCTGAGAGAGCTTTGGATTCGGTTCTTGCAAAAACTTGAGGAACAGATCTGTGTTGGAACTTAAGACATCTATTGCATCTTGGAATTCCTTAGACTGGCGAAGTTGTTCATCTATGGATAAACATTTTGCTTCAATAAACTTCTGACGAACAAAAGCCGACTTCTTCTCAAAACTAGTTTCATTGTGTCTTGCCTTTTGTGGGGATTTACTTCTCACACAGTTCATTTTTGGGGAATGCTGCCAAACTTCATAAACATCTCTATATTCATTCTGCTCAGGATATTGATGAAATTCTTGCTGCATTTCTTCCACCAAGGATTCGTTTTCGTGCTGGCAATAGCTGAAGGAGGAATCTGTATGACACCGTGAATGACCTCCAAAATGACTTCTTATAGCTGGAATAGATTTCTGAGCCGGAAGAGCATCAAGCCCCATCAGCTTGGCAACAACACTAGGTGGATTATGACTAGAGTCTATTTCCTTGGACATTTCTTGGGCTATAAGCAACTTTATTGGTGTTCCATTTGATTTCCTGTTTGAACTAGTCCTCTTCAAATCTGAGACAATCTGCATGCACCATATATAAGCATTAGTATTAAGCCAAACTCTCCGGAAATCCAGCACCTTGCTATTTAAATAAATGTCATCTAGATAGAATATGCACCATTTTTTCTTCTACTTGATCCTCAGAAGGCGACAACCTCACCACATCTGATTGGCTCCTCAACAGAGAACCTGCAATAAGCTGGACCAGCTCAACATGCAGATTCGATCTTATAGTTGTATGGCATAAACTACTGGACCAAAAACCGAAGGTAGCATAAAATCAAATGAGATCAAGGCATGCCCACAGGCAGTTTGAAGAATCAAGCTTACGTGCTCTCAAATTGAAATCAAGATGTTTTTCCAATAAACTAAGTAATTATTACAGCTGTTTATGTTGTTTTCAATGCTCAATAATTTCACAGGACAGAGAATTTGAGACAATATTCCACGGAAACAGCATTCATGCCAATGATAACGGAAGACGGAGAAAAAAAAATTTAGCATAGAGTTTCACCATCACGATGTGGTTTATCTGTAAGCAGTCTGTTTCCTGGCACCCCTGAATTTAAATCAAAAAGGTTCACCATTCGTCCCAAGCATCCTGGAGAAGGTTTATCGTGATTGCGACTCTTGCCACTCTGAAACCCATTCATCTCAACTCCTAAGACCACGCAAGGAAGAGTATAAATTCCAAAGGGCGCATCAATCATCCCCTCACACAAAGAGATAGGCATGCCATATATGTTCAATATGAAAAAAAGTACAGCATGTTTTTTACAGGTATACACCTGTCTATGCAAATAGAAAAAAGAGGGAAGATTTGGCCAGAAAACAATTTAAGAAACAAAAGGCATGATCAGACAAATCAACCGCATGAAACTATGAAGGTTAAAATTGAAATAACACAGGAAAAACAAAGATAAAGCTACTATAACACAGAAGTGACCAATGATCAGACAAATTAACCTAGAGAAAAAAAACAGTAGGAAACGTGCTGAACAGATCAGGAGAAGGTCAAAATCAAAGTGCCCCCCTTCAGCTTTCGTGCAGAAATCTCTGAAGTGATTAAGCACTAGTTTGGCCATAGATTTTCGGTACATTTTTTCAACCAAATTTTTTTTTTTGAAAACACTGTTTGTTTGTTCATAGGACAGAACACTTTTTGAATAAAATTTGAATTCTTTTTTCAAGTTCCCAAAAACTGGTTTAGGGCAGTTTTTGGGTTGAAATTTTTCTTCCATTCACAATACTTCAAGTTTTCCCAAATTAAATGCATGTCCAAACAAAACTTCTGCTTCCAAAAATTATTTTTCAAACACAACTTCAAAAACTCCTTTTTCAATTTCTTCAAGTTTCAATCAAATCTATGTTCAAACTCTAGCTAAGTTGATTGTCTTAGTGGCGTTTGGTTCAAAAATTTGTTAGAAGAGTTCTTTTCAAAGAAAATTTCACTTTCTGCAAAAATGTTCTTCAACCAAACACCATGAAATAAAAAGCACTCAGTTTTTGCAAAGGCTGGAAGAGTACTCCACACTAAACAATACAGATCAGTAGCAGCAAATACGCATAAACATCTATTGCAGAAATTCTAGAATAAAGAGCCTATACGCTACTCTATTTTGCAGCAGTAAATTTCTGTACAAAGACGTGAATCATAGAATTAAACAAAGATAATGAAGAATTAAATATAAAAAATTAAAGCTACAAAAGGTCTCCTCTGGAAAGCTAAAATACGCCAAAAAGGAAAAAGAAAGTAAGATTGGATTTACCTCAGAAAAACGAGATCGGGAGAAAGTGCAGGAAGCCGAAACAGAAAAATCACTGGGAGCTCCACTAGAAGCTTCACTGTACCAAAATATATGAGCGTAGAAAGCTCAACGGTACAACTTGAGTGTTAGCTGAAGGTGTTTTTTCCACCGCAGAGTGGTCGCCGGAAACGGAAAACTAACATTCCGGAGCAAATGTTGCCGGAGATTCGGCTTTCACGCTGAGTGTTAGGTGCAGATACTTTCGCGGCAGAGTAGTCGCCGACAACGGAAAACTGGCATTCCGGTGGAAGTGTGGCCGGAGATAGATTCAGCTTCGACCTGAGTCTTAGATGAAGGTGGTGTGGTCGCCGCCTCGCCGGAAAGGGAACTAACTTCTGAAGGAAATGTGACCGGAGATTCGGTTCGGATAGAGCCACCGACTAACGGACTTGACTAGCTTTTGTTTATTCTGATTTATTAAATGAGGATTCAATTTTATCAATTACAGAGAAAGTAGAGGAGAAGTGAAGTGAAAATTTTCTACATCAACAAGGACAGAACAATAGATTGTGCATCAGTACAAAAGGTAAATTTATTTGACAAAGAGGTCCTTACTGTTTTGGATAAATGTATTCTGACCCCAATTTCTTTTTGTTTCAGTTTCACTGAGGTTCCCCCCACGCCCCAGCAGCTCATTTTGGACCTGCCAAGATTTTCCTAGTTAGAGCGTTAAAGAGCTCGTTTGATACGAGGGATAAAAATTGCGTATTAAATTTGAGATGAGTCTATTTTATATTTTATTGATATAAAATTATGATATAATTAATTGAGAGATTAGTTATCCCAAGATTATAATATTATCTTTATTCCTATAGAAGGTGGGATAACAATTCTAATATAACTAATCTCGGAATAATTAATCCTGGAATAACTTGTTTCACAACCAAACAATATAGGTAAAGACTTATAGGTAGGGTATTTAGATGCGTTATTAGATACCTGATATGTGTGTGTTTTTATATAAATTGTTATCATTTAACTATAAATAATTAATATATTCTCATCTTATTAAATTAGTTAATCATGATAAGTAATAGCACTGTCACATGTATTCAACGTGTCAAATTGATGCACTTTCGTCGAAAAATTATACTATAATTAAAATTACTTTAGTAAAAATTCAGACTTTGCTGTTAACGTAGCTTATTGAACATAATTGTAGCACCAACAGATTGTCGTTGAAGTTATATTAATACTTAGTGATTATAAGTAATTTTATGTAGGACTACAAATTTAAATCACAATATCACGAGTTTGAATTCAATAATGTTTTAATCATTGATATGTTGGATTTTTTTCGTTTCCACAATAATATTTCAATTTAATGTTGTGACCTTTATATTAGAGAACCAGAGATCTTTTAGGAAGTAACTTCTTCTATTCAATGTCATACCATCCAGTATAAAAGTTTGGTGTATCGATAATTGTGGATGGCTTCCACATTTATCTTCAGGAATGCATGATTTAATTTCAAATTTGTAATGAGACTGTACAAAATTAAGGTCATCACTACAATGATTATTTCTTTTCTCTTGAGTTCCTTCATGTTCTAATTTCTAAAATTGTTATAAATGAATCAGAAATGATGATATCCCATCTTGTCAAATAGTAGTTGAATAGTACCATGTAGAAACCCCCACTGTACAGTTAATACACTGTACAGTTTTATTTCAACTATTTTTGCTATTTCACAAATCTTTGTCCTTATTGGTCTTTCTTTTCTTTTTAATGGATTTAAAAAATCACTTGCCATTTTCATTTACTTTATTGATCATTAGGGCATATTCTAAAAAGGAGAATATGAAAGTTTTCAATGATTAGTGTTTAAATTACCCTTAGTAAGATAATGATGGTTATAGTAATTTACCTTCTACGTTTGTGTGAATTATCTGTCTCATCTCCTCTAAATTTCTTATCTTAACAGGAAAGAAGACAAGCAGCTAGCGGCAAGCCAGCACAAGTCGATGGATGTCACATTTATTTAACACCAAAAATAATAAATAATTACAATGCAATTGTTGGGTATCTAACAGTTGTACCACTGTAATAAAATATTGATACATCTGGACATATTTTATATAGAAAAAACCATACAATAAGTATTGTATTAAAGTAGCTTTCCTATGATTGGCTTTATAATGAAGGTTTTAGGTTTACTTACTTTACGTAAAGTCTTGTCCTTGTCCGTGGACTCTCAAAAAATGCGATATTCAGTGGTTGGAAATTCTACCTTTAATTTTTGTGAGTCTTTTCAAGCATTATTATGACAAAGATAAAGACATACTTTTTCTTTTTTCTTTCTGAAAAATCATTTCCCGCAAAGCACCAGGGTGTTCAAACCAATAACCCTAGAAATTTTCGAAAACTTGCAAAAACGGCTTTAAACTCGTTCGTTTAATGTTCTTTCAAGACGTTTAAAGTTTTGTAATTTTTTTTATGATGTAGAAAAAGTGTTTTTTATTTTAATAAAATAAGTATTTTTTTATGATGTAGAAAAAGTATTTTTTTTCATAAAATGAGTACTTTCTTTTCATGTTGTTGAAAAAGTATTTTCTTTTATTTCAACAAAAACAGTACTTTTTTTCATGATGTAAAAAAAATAATTTTTTTACAAAATGAGTACCTTTTTTTTATTCCTATTGTAGAAAAAATATTTTCTTTTAGTTCAACAAAAAGAATATTTTCTTTTCATGTTGTAGAAAAAATATTTTCTTTCATTTTAATAAAATAAATACTTTATTTTATTTTATTGTGATACCTAAAAAATATCTCACTAACGTCCTTTATTTTATTGATATAAATTTTATTTGTTGTTTTTTTCTGTTGTGAGAACGTGTTTCTCTTTATTTTTCAGATTTTTTTCGTGTTTGATCATTATTTTTGGCAATAACAGTTAGTTAAATAAATCATTCGATATCATGAAAAGAAAGTATTTATTTTGATGAAATGATAGAAAATATTTTTTCTACGTCAAGAAAAAAAAAATATTTTTTTGTTGATAAGAAAGAAAATATTTTTTCTACGTCATGAAAAGAAAGTACTCTAAATAAAATTTTCATATATTTAGGGTTGATAGGTTATATGTATCCCTGTTATGTTTTGATGATCTAACAAACTTAATGTGAAGAACCAAATAAAGAACCTATTACACATCCTCAAGTACTTAAGAACAACAAGTCTCAAGTTGGGGACGTGGTTCAACTCTTTAGAGTCAAAGGAACAATAGAGGGAACAGATGACCACTAGTTCCCTCGGTGACTGTACAAGTAAACTCCCCCAGTTGTAAAGTTATTACCTACACACGCAACATTGCAAAAACAGTGTAGCAGTCAACTTTATGGGGAATGCCCTTTTACCTAACATGCTTGCATCATTCAAGTGATGTCACAAATAAATTATTAACATCAAGCAAATGTAAAACAAAACACTTGCACATTCAAGAATCCATCAAGCATTCTCTCAAGTCTGTGTCAATCTTGCAAGTGATTCTCAAGGGCATCAAGAACAAAGAACAACATAACGAAGGACCAGTTTCCTGTATTAAGTCATTACATGTCCTTAGTTGTGTTTCACCTTTATTAAAACATTTTACTTGTAATTCTTACTTATCTTAGTTAGAAATATTGTGTAGGAAATCCTTATAAAATCATAAACCTTGTGCTTGTGTCTTGGCTAGAGTTAGTCGAGTTGTAAGCTTTGTAATAAAGTTATTACAAAAGGGTTTGTAATAGAGTTGTTACAAGTTAGTGAGGGATTAAGAGGTTAATTCCTAAGTTACAATAGTTTGTAATCTGAAGTTTGCTCAGTAGTGAAGTTGAAATCCTATAAAGGTAGGTCATGATTTTTAATCCCGTGAGCTGGAAATTTTCCACATAAAATTCCATTGTGTCATTTACTTACTGTAGTGTGCGTGCATTCTGTGAAAACTTATAAAGAACTTGGTTCTTTATATAGTTTGGTACACCCTTAGTTTCTATCGATTGGTATCAGAGCAGGTTTTTTCTGAAGGTTAACACCCAGAATGATCTTTATCATGGCTGCTCCACCAAACTTCAAGGAAGGACAATCAACGTACATATCACCTAGATTCAGCGGTTAATACTATAGTTAGTGAAAAATAAGAATGCATGACTTCATCATGGCTAAGGACTCAGAGTTATGGGATGTAATCTATGATGGACCTTTTGTTCCCATAAAAATTGTTGGTGAGGGAACAACTACAGTCCCAAAAACAAGAAAAGAGTACAACGATGGTGATAGAAAGGCTATTGAGAAGAATTTCAGGGCAAAGAAGATTCTTGTTTGTGGCATCGGACCAGATGCATACTGATCACACCCAACTATGTCTTATAAAAAGGATTAAGCGATCTTTGCAAATATAATCCAATTTACAAATCCGGAGTCAAATCCCACAGAGAACTAAGGCTTAGCTACAACTGTTCAATATTGCTAAGAAGACAAGCTCGAACAATTCCTATGTTATAAATATTAAGATTCTTCTATCTAATTAACTAAATAATTAAAGTAATAGATTAACAACTAAAGATACTACAAATTGGAGAAAAGATTAAGGAGGTCTAGAGTTATTATTTTCCTTATTGTCGGAATCCTCCCCGCTACATTTTCTATAAATTCGCCTAAGTATTCTCTACCGATCATGAGCGTTCTGACTGTCGTAACTCTCTCCTGAGTAATTGCCATAATTTACTAGATATATTCTCCCAAATTATGCTAGCTGGCATTAAGTACGGCTCACTCGGATCGCACCCAAGGTTTTGTTATCCCTAATCCCACATTTAAACCCTTCGTATTGATCCCTCATATACGTTAGGAGTGATGTTGTTCAAAAACTACCTAAATATGCACTCTCTCCCGAGTAATACACACTAAATAGGTACAATCGATTGAGAGCTCTTCTACCAACCACAATAATAATGTAGTTGAACAAATAGAGAAAAAGCTACAACAAATCTATATTAACGTTGTAAGCACGTGATTTTTGCCCTATATGAGAATTACTCCCAAAAAATTCAAAAATAAAATAATTTTTCGTGGTGTGCAATTTTTGTGATATTTTGTGTAACTATTTGTATGTTTGTCTGTGCATGTTTATTTGTTAAAAAAAATAAAAATACAAAAATATGTCGCATTTTGCATGTAGGATTTAATTCTACAATT